GACATCTGGGTGGGGGCCGCGCACTGAAAATCAGGACGTCGCATGTCCGAGATGTCCTCCCGAACAATGCTTGCACTTAGGGCTTCTTGCTCGCGTTCTAAAGATACAGTGCGGGCGCGGTCGCAAGAAACCCTCGCAAGAAGCCCAACCCTGAAAACCCGCGCGCCAGGTGCGCCTGAGGGGAAACCTGGAGCACCCTGAACGCAGCCGCTCCTTCCCCGGCTGCGGGAAACCACCGCGCGGCGCGCGGAGCTGAAGAAACCCAGGATACCCTAACCGTAACTGGGCCTCGAGGCGCTCTGGCGGGCTCGTCGCCGCCCGTCGCCGCCCGTCGCCGACGGGCCACAGTGGCGGTCTGGCCAGCTCGTAGTCGCCCGTCGCCGCCCGCCACCGCCGCCCGTCGCCAGCAAAGCATAGCATAGCATGGCATGGTACAGCTGGGCTGCTGACAGAAGGAACGCTAAATCAGGAACGAAGCCCCTTATTGGCCCTGTAAGCGCCTCCGTGCCCCAGGAGGGCAAGAGGAACAGCACTGGAGGAACCTAAGGAACGTCGAGCCCCTTCCGAACCCAAACTGTTCCTGATTTCAACGTGTTGACTCTGTATAGTATGGTGACACTGCTTCGCATTGCTTCTGATTTGCTGCGCAGTGCTTTGAGTGTGCCACGTGTTACTGCACCACCTGAGCGGCTAAAGCTTTTGTTCGGGTGGAAGGGCCTGGACATGCTCGCGTACTCGCGTCGCAAATCGATACGCGAAGTATTTCGTCGCCCTCGGCCCCAGGGGTCCCTGGGCCCTGGAGAAGAGGAACAAAAACGGCTCGGGATGGGAAACCGGTCAGGGGCAAGGGGTCGGAACTTCGGAAACTCGGTGCTGACAAGATCAAGGCATATCACATGTCTGGGGTCGCTGCCCCGGCAGGGCGGGGCGGGGGGGGCCCTGGGTAACGGTGGCGCTTGGGCGGGGCGCGGCACGTCGGGGCGGGGGTGCGCTGCGAGCGCCCCAAGATGTGAGCGAGCACCAACATGTGGGGGGGGGGGGGGGTCCTGGGCCCCCCCCCCCCCCCCGACGTGCGATCGTTACCATTACCCAGGTAGGGTTCAACGCCCGGGAGGTGACCGTTGCGCGCCAGAGGAGAAGCAAACAGAAGAAGCACACTCTCCAGGCGAGAGGGGGTCGAGCGCCCAGATCTCCGACGACACACGTGCTTTTGGATGCTGGGGTTCTCAATCACCTTTCGGCATCTTGGGGGACGTTGTCTGGGCCCCGTGCGTGCCTCCAGGAAGCCCCGAGACGGCCCAGAGAGGCTTCAAGCGGATCCGGAACCGCAAAATCACATCCCCGAGAGGACAACATCAAGACAAACAAACATACGTCCTCGCATGTTTGCTTCCAGTGGTTTTCTGAAGCCTCAAGGTCGCTCCAATCTCGCCCAGGAGAGCCTTAGAAGGGGCCTAGAGGAGCTCCAAGACGAACCTGATACCTCCCAAGAGCGCCCAGAGAGGCGATTTGTTGGGGATCCGACGCGGGATGGGGGGCTTCTTTGAGCTTACCCCCTTTGCTGCTCGATATCCTCTCAGGTGGCCCGAAAGTCACTACTAGAGCCCAAAAGGACTCAAGCATGGCGAGAAAACAATCAGACCCCAGCGGGGCGGGTGAGACTCCAACAGGAGGGGCCACACCGCAACGGCTCAGACGCCCAGGACAGGTCAGACTCCAACTGGGCTCTACTCTAAGAAACTCAAAAACTTCAGATCCATAAGCTCGATGCCCTTATTTCCCAATGCCGTCTGAATGGATTATGCGGAACTTCCGAAGGGTTTCTGAGAATTGCCCCGGATTCCTCGGCTTCCTTTGGATTCACCACATTCCTTCGGATTCCTCAGGTTCCCTTCGGATTGTTCTTGGATTCACCCGCGAGGTCGCTCCCGACCAGCTGGGGGGTATCGCATCGCGCAGCATGGTCCCCGAGAGGGCATCATCATGACGCGCGAAGGCTTTTCTCTGGACACCTGGGACAGCTCAGGCTGGCTCCAGGCTTCGATCTGACAGCTGCCCACCCCCCTTCTTTGTTACACTGCTTGCTCTTTCACTTCCCCAGTCAAGAGCGCTCGCCTAGCATCGTGTCAGGATGGGCTGGTCGGGATACGTGAATAATCCAAGCGTCAGGCTGTCAGTGGACGGCGGAACAAGTCGCCACGCATTACGGCTCGAGGATCTGCACCTCCCTTGCTAGTCTGGAAGCCCAGACCTCCGACGTTGTGATGTGCTCATGGCGTGAGCCCAAGTCCAAGTCTCATGCTGTCAGCTCTTATGTGATGTGTGGGGTTATGCGTTTGCTATGTGTGCTACGTATGTTGTTATGTATGCCAGGATCTGACCGGGCCAACCTCCCCCTCAGCGCCGTCGAATACGATTCCCTCGAACAGTGCTTACATTCGTACGGGGTGCAGCCGCGCTTTCCAACAGCCGCTCGATAGCAGAAGGGCAAGCACGCTCAAAACAGCGGATCGGCCAACTCACCAAACAATCACCCAACACGAAAGGGGTCAAACTTTGTGAAGCATGGGATCGAGTGCCACTGAGGTTGGGCTCTGACGGACACGACACCTTGCAGAGGTGCTCGTTGAACTGTGAAGATGACCACCCCTTGACGCCCATGGGCGTCCGCCGAGAGGACCCCCTGACCAGCAGGGCCGTTCCGTTCCTGGCCTAAAGAGCTTGAGCTGAGACGGATGCGCGGCTCGACGCTGCAGCCCTTGTGCTCGGAGGCACGCGCGCGTGCAGCGATGATGCGAATGCTGCAGCAGGAGGACGGGGAACACGAGGAGGGTTACGGATCCGCCACCGTACCGCTGGCACGAAGTGGCGTGCCCCAAGGCCTATGCAGCAAGGAGAGGTGGGCGGCCGTTCGGGACGATGGGCACCCGAAGTGCGCTCTCTCGACGAGGTGCAACTGCTGGAGAGCAACCCGAGGCCAAGAAACCTCGAGGGCACATCTGGGAGCTCTGCACGAGCGGCGAACATATCCGTATCCGCGTTCTCGCGGTCTGGATTCCAGGGCGCGATCCGGTGGATATGCGGTCGAATGGATACCATGTGCGCGGGGCTTACACGAAACAACGCCCCGTACCTAAGGGGTCGCGGCCCAGGGGGCCTGCCCGCGAGGCCGCGGATACGGATATGTTTTCCACGATTGGCGACTCCGAAAAATGTGGTTTGGAAATGGTGTAGCTTGCAGCCGGCACGCTGGGGGGCACCCTGTGGGGCGGGCGAGGACCTCGACAGAGCTCTCCGCCGCGCCCCGAGGAGGCCCGACGAAGACAGCGCCGCGCTCCCCAGGCCCCAGCGGTGCCGATCGCAGACCACATCCCGGCGGGGCCATACTCCGAGTTTCTTAATAAGCGTCGGGGGTGCGTCACCCCCGCCGACAGCCCCACATCGCCCCCCGTCGCGGGCAGCCACCGCGCGCCGAAGGCGCTCCGACTCCCGTCGCGGCGCGACGATGAGGCGAGGATGACCCCCATCGGGGGGGTACCCCCCCACGCTTATTGAGAAACCCCGAGTACCCGTTGTAGTCGCCGACGCGAGCTCGGTCGAGACACCCCCGGGGGCGGAGCGGTGGCGGCGGCGGCGGAACGGAACACGCAGGCCGGCGCACTTCCGCGCGCGACTGAGGCGCGGCGCGGCGCGAGGCCAGGCCACCGCCGGCGTCGGCTAGGCCGACCCGCCTCACACCTCCGC